TGCCTATAGCAAGTATAGCTTTCACAGCCAGAAGTCCTAGCGCAATAGGATGTGTGGAAAGTTCCCATGAATCTAAAAAGCAATTATTTGATTTGAATGTTAATGTTAGCTAGAGCTTTGAGGATGGAAGTTGAGGTATATAGGTTGCACCAAAAGTAATGCCTTCTATGTATTTCCATGGAAATTACGACAGAGCATAATAACACTATTTGGGAGAGAAAATTCTCATCTGCAGAACACTTGTTTTCAACATAGTCACCATCGTTAGCTGTGCATTTTCACAACAATCAACAGGAGACTGCATGCAATTTTTGGAAATCCATGCCATTCAAGGTCATGCACTGTCACCACTAGAGAAGCGCACAACCCACATCCTCACTGTGCTCACATCCACTCTTTGGTTTCCATAAATGTTTGGTAAGCATTGATGAATGTCACTGGATGGTATTTGTTCCTGCATAGAGGAATTTGGTTCCCTATCTTTGTTTCATGCACACTTCCATGTCAGACATCACTGTGCCAGGCTGCCCCCCTGCCACCATCAGTCACATAGCAACAACATGTAACAGAATATTGGCAAGGAAGCTCTAGCTCTATTGCCATACAATCAACATCTGCCTCCAATGTTGTGGATCAATACAATAAAAGAGGCATTACTTATGGAGCAGACCTTGCTTAAGGGGAATTGACAACAGAAGCAATGTGCTATGTTTCTCTGCAGGTACCTGGCAGGCTCATCTATTCCTGTACTTCTGAAACAACTGCCTACTGCAAGAGATGATGTACAACCCAATCCAAGAGCCTCGCCAACCAAAATGGCTTCTTTACTCTCGTCAGGTGAACATCCACCTTCCCAAGCCTGCTATCATTTTCAGGATTCCCCCACTTCTTCCACTTTATCTTACACTCATTTCAGCTCCCTCCAATCTTCAGTTCCAAGGTAACCCCCCTCCATGCAGTATCCTTTCAGTATTTCCACCCTCAATTTGAAGAAAATAAGAACAGTTGTATTCCTTTTTACGTTCCAGAGTATCTCAGGTCACAGCAAGGAAAAAAGGTGTCATGTCACAGACAGGTTGCTCTGATACCACAAGGACAACAGGGCAAGGCATGGAGGAACACAGAGCCAGAGAGGCCTGGAGAACAGCTTCCCCTGGCCCAGCTGAAGAAGGGTATGCTGCTGCTTTTAGTGAGCCTATCCCCTCACTGCTGCAAGGAGCACTTCAGGACAGAATATCCATCACCATCTTATTAGTTTTGTTTTTGTTTTTTGTTTGTTTGTTTTTAGAATCAGCTGCCTTCTTTGACCATTTCTCAAGTTGGTGCAGATATTAACAGCAAAACATGAAATGGTGCATTGTTAAAGCCCCACGCAGGTTCTCTTCCACTTCCCAGGCAGTAATTGCTAATATTCACCACTTCTTCAATCGTGCAAGACTTTTCTGAGACACAGTTCAATCAGCCTCTCACTGCCCAACAACTGACAGCTCCACCAAGCAGGGGCACAGCTGGTAAACAAGCAGAAATCAATCTCTTTCTCCATAAAAACCATTGCCACTTGATCTGCAGCACCTCCCTCACTGATATTGTGGATGATTTGGTTTCATCTTGATTATGACCAGCAATAAAATCTTTCATGTTATCATTTTACTCAAGCCAAAGGACAACCCTGCTGCAGTGACATATTGCTCTGCTCTTCCACAAGTATGTTAGGCTGCCTACAAAAATCTCCTTGTCTAGCAGAGGATAATGCTTTTTAAAATTCAATGACCTGTATTAATTTCTATTTTCCACCAAGAAAACCTCATGGATCATCATAATCATCTTTTTTATACAAGAGATAGATTAATGTTCTCAAGTTGTTTGCGTTTTTCTTCCCTTAATGGAGTGGTTTTAGATGATGTCATTGATGAGATAGCTGTAATGTGCATTTTTCCAGCAAAGAGAGTTATCTCAGAGTTGACAGACTGCAGAGCAATACCCAGTATGAAACTAAAGCAAAGCAGAAACAACATAAAACAGCCTAGGGGATATGGACTAAGTATGGGAAGTTCTGCATCGCCTTGAAAACAAAATGCAGCAGTTCATAGCTGATTACTAACGTACAATTTTCAGCCTCAGGGGATTTGTTATTGTCTCTGCATTTTAATTAATTTATTTTAAATCCAAACAGCTTTTCTGTAGGGTACATACTGACATCCAAGTGAGTGTTCCAAACTGCACGCAATGGGATCAAAACACCGCCTGCTCTTCTGGCAGCATGCTTTCTCACCATGCTACTGCATGATGACCAGATGCTACAGCAAGGGCAGAGATTACTCTAGGACACCCCTCTGGGGAGCAAGAACTAAAACTGCCATTTCTACAGGGCAGCAAGAGACCTGAAACTAAGATCCTCCATTTCTTACAGGAGACCTTTTATAGATGGATCCTTGTAAGAGTTTCTTGCTGAACAGATCTATTTTCACAAGGTTAGGAAACGATTCACTACTTGAAGATGCAGGTTGACATAAGAACTGCCGCTCCATAAAACTGCAACACCTGATGTACAAGCTCCAGTCTGCTAAAGATGGGCATAAAAAGAATTTATGACTCCATTTCTCATCTAAATCTACACTGAAAGCAGCTGATTTCAGACCAAGAAAACTGTTTATTTATTCTGTTTTTAACACAATGTCTTTTGCCTGTGCCAGCTATTTCTTAATAGTAAATAGGATGTAAGCTGCATGACATACAGGAGCAGATTTTGTTTAGCAAATGCCTAATGTCATTGTCATGGTTTCTAAAACAGCAGCTTGTTATTACACTGAAATTTGCACTTACTGAAGCTTAATTAACAAATGCCCATTTCCCCATTTATTTCTCATGTAGAGACTTTCAAATGAAAAAAGGGAAATATTTACTCATATACTGTTGCACGCAGATGAAGCGTATGATGAAAAACGCATTGCCCTCAAAATCTGAGCTGTCATTTTGTCTGCAATAAAATACTGTAATAAGTAAAAATCTTGTCTCAGTATTGATTAACTTATCTTAAATAAACAAATCCCCATCTCCCCTGAGCAGTGCGAGTCCAGGAGGAGGTCCTCCTCCTGGATCTTGTCTTCAACATAGTAACAGGTAAAACATCGCAATTGCTCGCTAGCCAACATCAAATGCTACAAAGGAGCAAAAGTTAGATTAACTGAACATACTGGCCCAGTTCTATCTCCCAAAAAATAAATCAAAGAAAATGTTGAAAAATAACAATTACAAGGGCTTAAAAAAAATTACCTCATTTAAGATTCAACAATTTAGAACAGTGAAGAACACAACCCTTCAAACACATTTAAACAGCCAGAATTCGAGAGGAACTATTCTTAACAGCTAATGTCAATGAAAGGCTAGTTTGCTAAAAATACCTATAAGCCTTCAGCAATATTCTATTAAAAGGAAGGTAAATTCATAAAAATAGTAAAAGTACCTCCAAAAAAAGTTAACTTTGCAAATCCACAAGCCATTTTAACTATTTCCACTGTGATTCTGTATTGCAGTTTGTTATCATATGCTTAGAAATGATATGTGGAACTGTTGGCAATCAGGCCAACCGAATGTCCAATCCCTCTACCCCACTCCCAATATCTTTGTTATCCACATTTTCCAGGAATACAGACAGCATCATGACAGTCCACAAAGAGGACTACAGAAGAAAGAAAATCTGAATGAAGTTAGTCCTGAGTTTTCAACTCCGCCCCAGTATTTCCATGGCCCCCCTTCTACATCAGAAAATGAAGCTTCTGTTTGGATAATAGACCACCTCTTTCTTATCTACTCTACAGTTTATTACAACTACGTAAGAGACAGAGAACACTAGCAGAAAAAAAAAAAACTACCATTGAAGCAGCTGTGTGTGTGCAACTGCTCATAAGCAAACTTAGCCTGCTTCTAGAAAACAACTCTGGTGGTGCAGTCTGATTGCTGAACAACCTAATACTGTATTTGAAGACTAAATGGAAGTGTTCAAATTGCTACACTTACAGAGAATAATTTGGTACAGCATTTCAATTTCACCACAAAAATATTTCAAGTTCAGTATTTAAACAGATGTATGAAGAATGATTCTATGATAATTACATACTAAAAAACCCTTTTAAGAATGACCTGCTCTTGTGCCGTGCTTGCAATCCAAAACATAAGTAGTGACCTGCAATTCTTTGGAGCTAAGTGTTGTATTCACCACTAACTCTCCCTTAACACCCACTGCTGTTACCAACTTTAAGTCATGCTGATCCTACCTGAGGGCCAATGTAAGAATGCTGACACAGCAGCTAAAGGAACCAAGTATTTCTCAACATGTGCACAGTATCAGCCAAAGCTATGTAAGTGAAGGACTAAAATATAACAAATATTTTTAGACCATAAAATATACTTATTGTTCTTTGTACCTCTAGAGCAACTTCTCTCCCTGTTGCCATGGAGTCTGTAGGGCATGAAAGAAAAATTCTATTTAAATTGAAGGCTTTGAAAGGCTTACATTGGGAAACGACTTTTCATTACCAGGTCTTTACCTGTTAATCAGCAGCACTCTGATTAGTTCACTTTCAGAATGTTCCTAATAATTAAACAAGGACATATAACAAAAAAAAAAAAAAAAAAAAAGCTTGTCACTTTATTATAGAGTTTTAAGCATTAGAACAAAGAACAGTTATTTATTTTTTTAGCTCTTTTTGGAAGCATAATCTACTTTGTACTCAAAATAGGGACTTCCAGTGATAGGTCCACGTATCAAGCCTTCTAAATCTTTTAAATAAAGAATATAGATTAATCTTGCATCTGTTTAGCTGATCTGCTGAGATCAAGCACATTTATGGAAGTTATTTTTATATGTATTAAATATTTATGTTCTCGTATTTGTAGCAACTTGCACCTTATACACAGACAACTGCAGACTACAGCTAATACCCTGCTTCTTATCTCGTTAAGCAACATGTCATAGGTTTTACTTACCAGAAGTATTTCCCCATATTTCTGTCTTCAGAACAAAGAGTCCATGTGCCTTACAGAAGCGATAGTCCTCCATTCTACAGAGGCAAAAGTGTTTTCAGGGGATTCAAGTCACAAAGTTTGGTTACTCATTTCTCTGATTTTCTTTGAGGTTACTTGGTCAGGACCACAGTATCCCTCCCATCCCTCCACAAACTATAAATATTTGTTGTATCATATTTAATGACTAAGGGGAGGTTGGAAATCAAAAATCCATTAGCGGTTTTCAAATGCCATGAAGCCTACAAACAAGAACTATTATCAATATGCATTGTTTGCCTATGGTTGCAGTCTGGCAAGGGAGCTGGGAAGATTGACAGAACTTTTGAAGAAAACATTTATTCTTCTAAGAAAAAAGAAAAGAGAAAGAAAAGCCATCTTCAGTAGGACAAAGTTTTAACTGTTAAAGACATCCCAAAGAATCACATTTTAGAGACATTTAAGTAGCCTACAGCTTTGCCTCCCACACATCCAATGAAATGCAGTGAGAGAACCGTCAACAATCATTAACGGCCTTATAAAGATTGTACATTTTGAAAGTAGTCTGATTCACTACCCCGTGTTTTAAACATATGTACTATTAGACAAGATTACTGAAGATTTCAAACAAGATATAAGCAGCGTGATGATTAAAAACAATTTTATCAGGAAGGAAATTTGTTCAAAGCTTTCTAGTCTATCCTATTTGACACTTGTCAATGGCACTGTTAATTACCCAAGTACCTTCATGATCAGTGACAATTAATCTGACTCATCCAGTTAACCACTGCCGCGCTGAGACAGCATTCACTTATCGAGATTCAGAGGGACAAAGTCAAAAACTGTAGTTCCACATCTAACAGAGTAAGCAGATAAATCCAAAATAAGGAAGAGATTTGGATTTAGGTACTTCATTTTGGAAATTAAACATTTCTATGTAGTCAACATGCTAATTTCACAGAAAAAAAAATCCATCTCATTCAAATGTGAGGTTGCCTAATAACTGTAGTATAGCTATTACTGCCAACTCATCAAATCCACCTCTACTTAGCTTTGAAGATCTTTAGTACCATTCTTTGTTCATAAATATATTCATGCAGGGGATGGGTTATCTTTTGTTTCTAATGAAGGGTGAATAGTTCATGTCAAAACCCGCCTTTTGTTCTATTTTGTCTAAGATCCATAATTCGAACAATTTCATCAAGAAGTAAACTTCCAGATGTTCCCTGACACAAGACGGGAGAAAGCATGATGGATTTTCAGCAGAGCCACACTGCTGCAGCATCACTCCAAAGCAGAATTCATTTTCTTTCCACCTCACTGCAAGCACATTATCCCCTGGTGTTCTCTTCTTACCTGCAGATCACACTGTCCTTTTGAGGCTCTCATGTTTCATGATTCATCAGGCACAAATTTTATTGAGACTCCCTAATGCCTTTATAAAGCTGACTGTATTTTTCTATGGTCTCCTAGATGTCAATTTACAATTATTTGATTATACAAAAAAGTAATGAAATAGAGAATGTCTCCAGAAAATGGGCCACCAGCTGCAATGCAGCTTATCAAAAAGGATCCACTACATACTAATTGAAGGCACACAGCAAACAGCATGTCAAACACGTTCTAATTTAAAAACATAATATGCTAGTGGAATATACATTAAGTTACTCTAGATAATATGCATCTTGGTACAAGTTACAAAAAGCAGCAAATAAACACTATTGCTTTCTGGTGACAAAGATTTTGCAAGAGCAAAGACTTAGTATTTATTAATAGAATAATCAAGTTGGTATTAAGTATTTTTAAAGAATAGCAAACCCAAAAATTACAGAAGTTTATGCACGCACATGCATTATCACACTAAATACATGTTCAGATAAAAGAGAAATGTATGAGGTTAATCCATTGATCTGTCCCTCACCCTTTCAAAAAAAAAATCCTATGTGTGGAGGTGGAGTCTTTCACCAAAACACTTTGAATCAAACACTGGACTCCACCCCACACCCCCAAAGTCACATTAATCAATTTGGCAATTTTAATTTCACTGCTTGTTCTCATCCTGTGAAGCCCAGTGCTAATGCTTTTAAAGAGAAAATACACTACCACAAGTCACAATGCTGAGAAAGAAACACAAGTTTCCATATGACAACACACTAATGTTCTTACCTGAGCTGAAAGAAAAAAAACTCAGTCTCTTGAAATAACATTGAGTAACACCCAGCAACATTGAGCCTTAATTACTAACACAGGACATATAAAGGTCTTCCTAAGGCTAGAGGCAGATTTAAGGTGCATATGCTTATCTTGTGCTAGCTGCCAGACAGCTGGCCATCCATCAGGCAAGTTGGAGCAATGGGTTTATGCCCGGAAGAGCTACAACTGGAGGTTCTTCAAAAACCCACAGAGCGACAGCTGGGATGGTGGACTGCCATGGCTGTATTATCATGCTAAGCACCTTCTCCTAAAGAAAAGGTCATGACTTCCCCTTCAAACACTACTAACTCTGTTGTGCTAGATACTTCTACTCCACTAGCTCAAAGGTAGCCGTTTCAGCATCACACTGAGACAAACAGAAGACAAACAGGTTCATTAGAAGATAAACGTGCCTTTTCTGCAGTATTTTCTTCAAAGAAAAGAACAAAGGCGTTCTATTATAAGGTAAAGCAGAAGTCATCACCGAGGTGGTGTTTCTAACCTCGCAGTGAAACTGAAACTTTATTTTGGCCACTCACTCTCCAGTGCTCTCACTCAAATAGTTCAGAAACATTCAGCAAAGTTAAAAATGTAACTTTAAAAACTAGCCCACACGTATTCCAGACTTAGGAAGCGGGTAATCGTTTATTTGCAAATCAGCACCTTAGCATGGTGCAGAGCTGAGAGAGCATTGAGCTCCTCCAGCCTAAACTGCAGTTAGCAATCACCCCTCATACTCCTCATTAGGCATTGTAAACTTCTGCTCATTAACACAGAGAAGCTCTGACACCATCATTAATAGAGGTGTCCCTGAATTTACTTCATTATATATATGTGTGTATAAATATATATTAATGATGCAGAGCACATACACGTAGGTCGCACCTATTGCCATGAAAAGTAATGGCTCCTTTTTATTTCTCTGGAGACTACAACAGATACAATGAGCACAACAGTATTTGATTAAGCAAATTCTCATCATCCCCACAACCACTCACTCTCTGGAATCAGTTGATTCAGAGGTGTGAACTCACACTTAAATGAATTTTGTAAATGCATCAAGATTTTTCAGGTTTTAGAAGCCACTCTACAATAGTAGATTTTTAAGTTCTATCCTTGAGTACCATACCAGATTGTGGCATTCTTCTGATATACTTATTCAAAGTACTTTATTTATTTATTTATTTATTTTTCAATTGACAAAAAACAATCCTATTTTGTCCTTAAAATGGTGTGGAAGAACCCAAGAGTCATTGAAAGCAAATCCTCACATTTAAATTATTGGTCAGTTTTTTGCTCCAAGCATCCACATTTCTATTTATCTCAGAATTCAAGCTCAACATGGTAACACCACCTTCTGTGGTAAAACTCATGTTATGACTTCAGTTATTTGTGAAAAACTCCCAGATCCTTGGAAAGCTCACAGACTGTGCATCATAAAGCAGTACACAGAGCTAACACTTGGCGTCACTCCTCAGAAGTCTACACTTGGTTATAACAAGCATTGACGCTTACTAAAGAACTTTGGAAAGCTTAGGCACAGATCTGAGAGTCATTTGACAAAATTCCAACAGCTTTTGTAAGAGCAGAGCCTTGCAAACATAGGTGTAGCTGGAGACATCTGTTAGCTAAACAACACTGAGTTACATCTTCTTCTATAATTCCTTCCCAATAGGCTATGATCTGGAAAGCATCAAAGCATATCACATTAAGTTCAAGAAACTATTTCAGGTATCCTGATTCGTCTCCCTTATCATCTGTAGCACACATTTACCATTAATGGCTCATCACCAGCACATGCAATAACTCATATGAAAAGTCTTTCAGAAGCTCTGTAGCTTAGGGAAAAAAAGGGCATTAGTATTCTGAGTTGTTTGGAGACATCCAGACTTGGAAAGGCTCACAGCTTTGTACTGCATGCTCAGAAGCCTTTGACACGCTGCACTAACCTAAGTCCCTCCTAACAACTGCAACTTGCATACATCAAGCAACACTGACTCAGCTATGCATAACTGGTTACAAAGCCTTTCAGATGCACAGCAGCTTCAAACACTGCTGCAGACATTAGAGCATGTTTTACCAGCAGAGGTTTAGCAGCTGTCAGTGAGGTTTGCCTTCTTGATGCACACTGCATCAAGCACTATATTTAACTAACTTATTTGGTTGGCTTCACAGAACTGTTTTCTACAATCTGATCTCATCAGTATGAACCCTGTTATGGCTGCATGCTGCCATGACATTCATCTGCCATGAATGAAGTTGTTCAGATTTACAAAGGTTATGCTGATAAGGAGTAAAGATATCATGGTATCTATGCACAGATAAAACAGTACAAAGCTTTCTTCTGGGACAAATATCTAGAGATTGAAGCTGAAGGATAGAATTCCATCCCTCTAAATGAGGGGTTCCAGCAGTTAAGTAAAGGGAGAAACCAGGACAATAAGTATTGGTTGTTTTGAAAAGGATGCCTTTATCTACACCATGTGGCACCACTCCCAGCAGCACTACCAGAACTCAATAGTGTGCTTTCTCAAGAAAGGATAAGCATGCATCTGTACTGAGCTGCTTCCAGCAGCTTAAAGCTTCCAACTAGGAAGATACATGAGTTGACACTTTGCATGAACTGCTTTGCTTATCACTTGAAATGCAAAACATAACATGACATATTCCCACCTATACAACTGCACTAGGTTTAGTGCATACACAGGTTGCTCCTAAAGTCACGTTTTCTATTTCTTTACACAGGAACTACAGCAGATACAAAGAACACAACAACACTATTTGAGAGAGAAAATTCTCACCTACTGAACATTAGTTTTCATCGCAGATGCCACCATGAGCAGAGCACATTCACCAGCAATGAACAAATACTGTGCTTGTAAAAATCTGCACCAGTAGAGGTGACCCTCCATCACCACTGCTGAAATGCACCACCCACTGTGGTGCTCAAACCCACTCTTTGGTCATCATAAACATTTGGCAAGCATCAATGAACGTTAATGGGTGCTATTTTTCTCCTCACATGGAGGAGTTCAGTTCCACACCTTTGCTTCGTATGTACTTCCACCTCAGATGCCATTCTATCAGTCTGCCCCTCAGCTGCCATCTGTTATACCACAACAAAGTGTAATGGAATACTGGTGGGAAGGTTCAACTTCTACTGCCATTGCACCAAGATCTGCCTCTGTATGTTGTGATGTATGTGGATGCATGAGTGCTGTAACACACCTGCCCTCACTTCATCTCTTCAGCTTATTTTTTTTTATCCAGCTATGTATCTTGCTTAGTTAAGACATCTTGTTATTTGCCATCTCTGGCATTTGCAGCTTATAAGCACATACAGAGGAGAAAGCATTTCCAAGGTTACAGTTTATTTTCTATTCACGTCTGTAGCTCATAAGCATATCCACCTTTCACATCAAGTTTTTTAGCTGCAAGTTCTCAATTTTGAAGCATTTTGGACAGCTGAAAATATCAGTTTCTCCAACTGCCAATTAGAAGTAACAATTTACTAGAAGTGAAATAGATGACACCTAAGCCATGTTATCCCCAGAAGTTTTATATTTGCAAAGGAAAAAAAAAAAACTATGAAAAAACTCAGTCTTTTTGCTTGGTTTATCCTCATGCCATTAAAATAAACATGAAACAGTACGTTCCTTTTTAAACCACTTGGTGAGTCAGTGCAGCTCAAGAAACTGATGAAAGGTTTATGGAAATAAATTAATATTGCATGAATGTTGCTGCAGGTATTAAACAAGTGAGAACCCATCGCTGAAGCCAAGAGACCTATATATGATAAGGGAAAACTGCAGAAAAGTCAGTGATTGTTATTACTGCAAATTCTTTGCCCTACAAAATGGCACATGACCTAAACAGATGTAAATAATCCAAGTGATAAGGTTTTGTTGTTTATAACAAATCTTACAATTGGAATCATTGCTTGTAGCAATAAATAAATCCCTTTAATTTTTTTAATTAAAGATATTTAAAAGCTTTCAGAACTTAAAATAAAGTGGTCATTGATATGACTAAGAAGAGTATTTTCCTTCACATTTCTTCAGAAATTGCATAACAAACATCTCAATTACTGACATCACGGCTATGCTTTTACAGGCCTGACACATGACATCTCCAGCTGATGACGTTATGTGAGATGACATCAGAGATCATGACTGATGCTTTCACTAAGAAGCCCAGCTTCATTTCTGAAAGCAGGGTTAGTTCAGCTACCTTTGCTTGAGGCCAAGAGGAAGATGAGCACTTCCATTCTTCCTCCAGGAGTCAGACGCACCTGCAGGTCTCAGAGCCTTTACACACGTTGAGTAAAACTGGCTGCTGTTTCTTGCCACTTTCACACCATACTTCAGAAAAACGCACTTGTAAAATCACAAAGGAGATGAACCTTTCAGTATACTTGCAGTACGTCAAGTAAGCTCTGCTCCTGAGCATAGAGGCCCCCACAGACTGGCTGCTGAGATTTCAAGCCAGAAAAGGACTCACATTTCAACACGTCAGGATTTCTGCAGAACTACAAGGATGTACCACGGGAATTTGGATAAGAAAAGCAAGAAGGTACGCGCAGAAGCAAACAGCTCTCCTCGATTCTCTTCCTTCTAATAATTAGGTTCTGAAAGTATTTGGATACTTCAAACTATGTTTTTCCAAATATCCTGTTAATTATCTCAATAAGAGTATATGTTTTACTGCAGACAACATTCACTCATTTGGGTGGGTGAAGGGAAAGACATCCAACACTTCACAGTAATATTACATACATTGACAGAATGCCTGCACATGTATGTATATTTCTTTTCTAAAGAAGGCCAGCTATTACAAAGTATCACAGGTAAACTGGCTTATTCATTACTGACCATTATGTTGTGGATGCCCCCTCCCTGGAAACATTCAAGGCCAGACTGGGTGGGGCTTTGAGCAACCTGGTCTAGAGGGAGGTGTCCCTGCCTGTAGGAGGAATGATCTTACAGGTCCCTTCCAAACCAGACCATTCTAAAAGTTACAGCTGCAGCAAAATAAGAGAAGTCGATAACAGACATCCATTCAGAATTCAAAGATGCAGTATCCATTTTAATTTTGCACTCCATGAAATTCAATTTTTAAGCAGCCATATTTTTAATTAAGAAAACAGGTTTCGAGAAAGAAGCCATCAAGTAACCTTTAGAGCAACACCTTTTAAATACTTTTTTAAGTCATGTGCTGCATAATTCCTTCATTACATTCAGTTAGGCACATATAGCCATGGCCAACCATAAAAAACCTATTAATCATACTTACATTGGGAAGACCACAGCTAGGAACTCGAGATGACTGTGACCAGCAGAATGCACCACTGCAGAAAATTGCTACTTCCCATTTTGTGTCAAGCACAAAACCTCCACACAGAATTTCAGCATATTATAGAAACAACTCAAGTTATGATTTTACACCATTGTTGGAAATATCAACTTTGTTTCTGACTTAATACAGACTTCAACTCCTCCAGACTCCTCAGCCATATTTCTCTCTGTCATTCTCTCCCCTGTGTATATTTGACTGACGGTAAAAAACATCAGGAAACAAATTCACCTTAGATGTTCATTCCATTAGGATTTTAACAAAGTCCATTTACAAGTAGATATTACTGGCTCCTGTGTTTGATCTGACCTCTGCTTTGTCAGCCATTCATCAAGAGAAATTTAATAGTATAATATTATTATACTACTATTATTAATAGTATAATACCTCAGAAGAAAATCAGTTACGGATCTACATACTTAATGAGAGAAATTGCTTCAGAACATCTCTTCTAAACACAGTTCATTCATCAAGATGTAAATTATTTCATGTAGTACAGTGAAATAATCTTAGACTACTGTCAAAAGAGCCATTCCTATTGTTCCATTACACTGATTCATACAAGTGCGTTAGCTTTTTTCTTTAAAAAAAACTAAAATTTAATGAAGAAAACTGAAAAAAGGAGCAGTAAACTGCTTCTGCAGTTAGCTCAAGTGACACCACAGAAAAAGGAAGCAGTATAAATAAGAACAATGGTAGTCTTTCACCAAGACCTTCCTTCTTATAATAAGATAACTTTGTAACAAAAGGAGACTGATAATTACTCAACATCATCCTCTAAGAAGATGAACAACCTGAAGTTATTTTTATTCTGTACTAAGACAAATTATATTCTAGCATATTTCAGTGTGTTTAATTTGATTACAAACCAATTCCCACTAAAGAAGTGGATGTTGTTCAAGGTTGAGAGATAATTTTCTTTAAAGAAAGTCTATTAAATTACCGCTTACTGTTGACCAGAATAGTCATAGCTACTTGGTGAAGTTTCCCCTACCCCCACCCTTATTCATACATAGATTCAGCTTATTACATCAGCCACATATAAGTTACATAGCAGAGGACAGAGCAGTCAGCAAACAAAACATTCCAGACTTACCATTTACACAGATTTCAAAAGATTTGCAAAGATCATCTTCAACCAGGCAGCCTAAAAACATAATAGAGAGGTAAAAATTAATGCAGGTTTCAAACTGTGGATAATTAGCACAGACTGAAGTCCCCTTAGGTTATTAAATTCTCAGCAGGAGTCAGACATTTGGTTGCCTTTAAGAGTCTAAATTAGGAAGTACAGAAAGGTAAGAATGGGGAAACAAACTGGTTAGACAGCACCTATTTCCAATTAGTTACAGTCAGAATAACCTTTGATGGTTTTCTTCTCCTTATTCCTTTGCTGAGGGTTCAGTTTTCTCAGTGGTTTTCTCATTTAATAATTCAAGAAACCTTACGTTCCCTAATTTTGAACACAATATTATTTGACAGCATAGTAATGTTGTAACATTCTACCAGAAATCAGGAGTTTCCTCAAGCAACTTACACTGCAGTGAGACAAATCTATGAGATAGGTATAAATTGCTTGAAACAGGTAAAAAACCTCCAGGCTTCGATTTAGTAACTACAACCCTAGACTGAGCTTAGGTCCTCAGGAGCACTTAGTCTGTAGAAAAGCTTAAAAATGAAGCCATCTACACCAACGCTACAATACCCTCAGCTGAAAAACCAGCAGAGCTTCTAGGGTTGGCTTTCCCTCCCATGTGAAGCAGGAAATGTGTACCAGAACTGGTTCCTTTGCAGCTCCCTGCTATGTCTGCCTGCACCTTGCCCTAGAAACTGCATCCAGCTTAGCAAGCTCAGCTTATCCACTTGGATGCATCTTTACCATGGCAATCAACCCATTGCTGATACCACCAAATCAGGTATGAGACACTCATTATTACCTCCTGTCTCCGGGCAAAATTAGCTCATATTCCTGAGAGCAGAAGAGAAACGGGCATGATGCTCCCTGCTCTGGTCACTCCACACTGGGAGACAGGGACACAAATCAAGCACTGGAGCAATTGGAAATATCATCTACTGTCAGGACTATGTGCTCTGTTAATCCAACCAGGTTATTTTGTGTTCGCACAAACAACTAGGATCTGATAAAACTGTGGTGGATGTCTCATCCTTGGAGAGGCATCCAAGGTCAGAGTGAACGGGGCTCTGATCATCTTGATCTAGTTATAGGTGTCCCTGCTCATTGCAGATGAGTTGGACTAGACAACATTTACAGGTCCCTTCCAACTCAAGTGATTTTATGATTCTCTGAACTACGAAGAACAAAGCTGTATTTTGGACGCAGAAGCTACCCCAGAGAAAGTATTCCTATAGTTAAGCCTTTAAACAACTCCAGGAAATACCTTAACTTTATAAGTGAACACAGAATTACAGAAATCAAGTGGTCTTGACTAGATTCCCACTACACATCAGAAACCAGCCAAGAACTTCACCATATCTAACACCAGGATACATCCTCTTTTTCCAGAAGCATGAATGTATTAAACAGGACGGTCTTACCAAAAAGAAAACAAAAGGCTCAAGAGTTTTCCTATTAATCACATCCTAACTCTGCTAAAAGAAAATTGCAGGGGGGAGAGAATGACTTACGCATGCTCATCACACAGCCTTTCAGCAGGTATCTGTATCAGCACATCGTTAAGCCTGAACTAATACACTACGTCTCTCAGCAGGATTTATTAGTACAGTGTCAGGTTTGAGCTAAGCAAGCGCATCTACTATACGATGTCAAGAGGCACTGGCACACTTGCACAACCCCTTAAGTCCATCTCCACTCCTGCCTACAAAGATCACAGAAACAACCTTATGAAGGGAACAGCCTACAACACACATGCTGATAGAAGTGTTCTTTCATCCTTTTACCTATGCACCAATAAACTGTGGGTACACCTTTGGTAGCTTTCGAAAGGTAGAGAAAGTTTTGCACTCAGAAAGATTCTACAGAGCATGCAGGACAACTCGTGTCTGAACAGCCAACAAACTCCAGTTTGTGACATTTTTGAGACGTCTGTAATTTTGTTCCAGACAAGTCTACTGTAGCAGCTGTTTGACCTGAATTAGTGTCTGAAAACTGCCTGAAGAAAGCTGATTGCAGCTTCAGTGCCAACCCAGCAAAGCAGAAGGATGCCTTAACTATGTATTGACTCATAAAGAACCTAAGCGGAGAACTATGACATGCAACAGCCAAAACACATCAGCACAGGCTACACAGCACAGTTGGAGCTCTAATTAAAAGTCTAGAAATGGCCACTTAAAATTCGAAAGCCTGGAGGGGGAATAAAGCAGAAGACTTCAAGTACTAATGCAGACTAGACAAATGACAGGTGTGCTTCACTATTCCTGTTTCCAGAGATTTGAAATGGCTATTTCTTCTAAAAGAAGTCTTTATGGTTAGGAATAAATCCCTGGTAAAATTTGTCTGCCTTGTTTTTCTGACAGAAGGGGTTGAACTAGAAACCTGAGGTGGACATTCCCTTGCAGGGAGTTGTCACATGTCCAGTGGAGAAAATAAGCCATGCAGCTGACTTAATTACAGAATTAAAGCTTAGGGTGGAAGTTGCCTTCAAGGTCATCAAGGTCCAACCCTCCTTTCACACCCTGTGGTGGCCATGCTGTAGACCCTACAAGTGTTGAAGTTTCAACCAGGTATGTTTCCAGAGGAGTCACCAAGTGAAAGTTCATGCAGACTCTTCTGCTTTTGAAACACCTGGAAAGACAGGTGGCTGTAAGCCTTTGTTAATAGTTCCCAAAGTCACCTGTGAGACATCAGCCATCCCATAATATACCTCACCTCAGAAGGAGAAAACCTCCGATTTAAAATGAACTAGATGTGTTTATTCAGATACAAAGAAATAATAAGCCAGACCACATCAGTACAGAAGTTAAATTCCACTCTGATTTGCTTGATACGCTTTGTGCTACCCCTAACATGCTTTCTATGAAAAGAAAACAGAAAAGCAATTTCATCACATTTGAATTTTTCCTTTAATAGTAGCTGATTATTAGATGCTGACTGTTTCTAGTTGACGTCATTAGCCTTGGAGAGCAAATTATTCAAATTAATGTATGGAAAACTACACCAACTGATGAATATCCCCAAAATAGCTAAAATGACCTTGAAAGCTCCTTGAAAAACACCAACATCTCAAGTTATTGCTAATGTTGATTGTTATGTATAATTCACCCAACCAGTCAATGTACTAATTTAACTGCTAATTTATCTTTTGTAACTGCTGAGACATTAAAACACATCATATTTCTTTTTAAATATCATTTACCAACTAATAGTAATGACAGCAATAAGTCACTGCTGAAGAGTGAAGAGGCATTGTCTCCAGCAGGCACTTAATTCAGTTCATGCCCTATGGGATCGAAATTGCAGCTCCCCTAAAATAAATTCTTCATATAATTTCAACCAGCTGAAGACAACTAGACTGCACAGGTACCCAAATTCACTTCTTTGATTTGGCCTGTAAATATGCCAAATTAAGTTATCCAAGTTCTTCTACTCCAGACTGACTCAGTTCAAATGCCTCATTTATGCAATAAAATGGAAATAAAAGCACTTGCATTGCAGTATCAAAACTACATTCAGCTAGCCCTATATGCCTTCTCAAAAAAGCAGTTCTAGAATTAACTAACATCAAAACCTAGAAAGAGTCAAGACTTCACCACCTAATAAACTTACCCTGCATTAAAAATTGGCCTTTCCACTAGCAGTTATATGGCCCTATTTACAAAACCTAAGTCCCAGTGTAACACAAAAGTCTGGAACAATAACATAGTCATCAGGGTGCACTAGCACCCACAAGAACAAGTGGAACTGTAAGCTTCATCACCATCTTCTCACATAACCAAGGCTCACAGGTCTATACTATGTGTCTTGTAACAAAGGGAGAGCTCTCCCTGACACATAAGAAATTAGCTGTTTAAATTCCAGGCAGCTTGACAGTAAGGATTATCTTATTTACAAAGATAAATACATGCTTTCCACGTTATTATGCATAAAGATTTAATTCCTAGTGATATAACCCAGTAGTCTGCAATTCTAGTAGATGATTTCATGTAACAAGAGCATTTATGTTGAACCTACTCACATACACACCTTTGTTAAAAGTTATATTTTATAAAGCTTCATGACTGCCTAAAATCAGGGTAGGCAGCTGAACTATATATTACAGTACACTTACATGGAATACCTTTTGTTGATTAGGTAGGAAAGTTGATTTCATAGGGCTTCCCAAGATCTATCTCCTTTTTTTCTCCCTCTGCCTTAATGCCCCCAGTGCTACTTTCAGATGACCAGCACAACATAATTGTAAAAAAAAAACGTTGCTGCAAGAGCAGCACCTTATAGTATATGACCTAGAAGTCCAACTCTCCCTTTATCAAAATATTCTTCTCATAAGATACAAGACTACTCTCTCATTTCATTGTCTTTCTCCCACTTTACCAGCCTGTTGCAATTATACTACACGTGTCTCATCAATATAACTTGAATAGTCTAAGCAGCTTTACAAGCTGCAATTTATATACATAAACATATTCCTTAGGCTTCTGATATCAAAAATGGTCTTACGGCATCAAAATAAGAAAACAAACAAGTAACAATAACAGCTAAACTTCTCCCATACTAATCAATTAAGAACTAGGAAAACACAAACCTTGTAAATCCTTACTGCCGTTAGGACTTTTCACTCTTTTACAGTCTTCACTCAACAGCCACATAACCATCCAACAGCTCTTTGTTGCACTGCATAGTTACCTTCCCACTGTGTAAAATATTACACAATGTAGACTCCTTTAATAAAAATATGCTAATAGTCATTAGCACATTCAGTAAACCAGAATCAAAGTTTATCCCACATCCACTTCCTTCTCTCAGATGTTTTTCACTCTCTGGTAAGGAGACCTTGAAGAGTAAATTCTGCTAAAACCTTCCAATTAAAAAAAAATGAAACACCTGGCTGTACTAACACTGGGAATGCCTGATGGGCCTCCCTGAGTCCTTAAAGCCACCTGTGTACATTTTAAATAGATGGCTTATGGTGGCTCTTGGTTGTGTGTAGGGTTTTTTTTTGTTGTTTTTTTTTTTTCTTCCCCACATAGTTGTTTTAAGAAATGTTTTTTAAGAGTTATGTTTTTTAAAATCCTGAGATCACATAACATGGATATTTTGAACTGGAGAAATTCAGATAGTGTATAACAATGATGATGATATAAACTGATAGGAAGAAAGAAGCATGATTTTCATACAGAAAAGTGAAAGTGAAATGCTCTTCTTCCTGGCGTATGCGAGAGAAAATGTCAGTCTGCTGAAGCTGTAGCCCATCCAACACATCCTCATCTGTCTGCTCTACGTGTATGTCTAACAAGCCTAGGATTACACAAAACTACAAACAAAGCTGGGGAAAATATACTTTCAGGTTATGATGGGATCCTCTTGTTCTCCCTACTCTGAGGTTACGTAAGTGCTACAGGTGTAAAGTAGTGTTCGTTACCCAAAGCCTGTCAACTGTAGGTGAAAATCAACTTCACAAAGACATTGGAACCTCTGACTCTTTATCAACAACTGCTTTAAACAGTAGTTTAATTACGGATTAAAGCAAATTTGCTCCAAAATTTAAAGAGCATAAAATACTAAATGAACTTTTCTCATAACAAGTACTGAGTTTTGACCTTCTGCGTTTATTCCATCTCATATGTTTTTGAAAGTAACAGGTGCCCAATATTTTTTGTAACACAGTAAACTCTCGAGAGCAGAGGTTCTTATGGTTTTCTTTTAATTGAGTGCATATGCACCAAGCTTAGCACAACAAAGCACTGATCCGTGGCAAAGAATCCAGGCCTTACTGTAATCAAAACTAACAATCAGAAAGATGACACAAGAAATCCCAGCAGTGGTTAAGTGGAAGAGAGTCTTTTATACAAAAAGTTTCCAAAGTACAGACAGATTTCCCGTAAGTGTTAGCATATGGTGGCAACACTTCCCTAACTCTGAATTACTGCTTCTTTCAATCATTCATTATACACACTGTATATTAAAATATGATCCTAGCCAGAATAATTCTCTGTGGAATGAGGAGTTCTCATTCAAAACAAGAAAATGTCAGTACTAAGCTCACAGCCAAGACTTGCTCCTAAAGCCTCAATCACAGTTCATCTTAGTGCTTCAATTACCCCCTTTCTATCACTTGTTTTTCAAGATGCATGGACTGACACACTATGTAAGCAGATGAGTGCAATGGGGCTGCCATGTTCTTTCTGCATTTAAGTGGGGAAAAAAACAGTATATGCATCTGGATGAGAAGCTACGAGATCTGGTTTAGTAGCTTGTGGTAGCAATGGTAATGGGAGGATGGTTGGACTAGATGATCTTGTAGGTCCTTTCCAACCTTGTGATTCTGTGATTCTATGATCTTTACTTTTGCATGTCCACTACTGAAGAAAGGAATTGCTTTGCTGTGAAAATTCTGTTAACTTATCTGATTACTAATGCCATGATTGCAATGATGTAGGGCTTTTCTGTTGGAAAGCACTGAGGAAAGGTCACTAATAAGAATAACTGAAGATGTAATCAGCAATAATATTAATAACAATAATAATAATAATAATGATGAGACAGAGAAAGTCCGTATCAGACAAACTCCAGAACAGCATTCGCATTTTTGCCCAGGGCTCAAAAGAACACAGTGTGTCATGGGCTGATACAAGAAATGAATGTTTTGCTATGCCTTTTTTTGTCTTTTTTTTTTGCACAGTAAATATTAAAAGAACTCTGTCTCCCTCATGAAAAATCAGTTCCTCAGTGCTGCATGTCCCACCTCTGGTTCTGCAGATAATTTGTCAAATAGGAAGCAAAGATATAACACTCCAGACAAACATGATACTTAGTTATATTGAATGTTCTCCATTTAAATGACAATTTTAAAAAAGCAGATACATCCATTCTTGGAGAAAAAATAGATCACTTAAAAACTAAGATTAAAATGATGACTTGATCTTTTATCAAGACCAAAAACTTTCACTCATATCCATTAACTGTGACATGGGGGATTAGATGTGATTTTGTGATTTTTTCAGTAGATTGGCCTCAAACAAAATATATTTGCCATGCTGGTAGTCCATATTGGAAAGAAATAAACAGCTCTACAATATAAAGTCTACAAAATGTTCTTTCAAAATTAGAAAATGTTAATTGAAGTGCTCACAAGCTGTAAAATCTCATAAAAAAATCAAGACCAGTCCTTTAATAACTGTGATTCAGTTCCTCCTGTTTGTTACCAGTTGCTGAAAGGAATTTCCTCACTGAGCACTGAAGTACCATCATCCAACACACACTGAAATCACAGCTCCAACCTAAAGCCAAACCTTTTTGTACTGAGCAAAGAATTTCAGGGCTGAACACTCATTGAACCTAAACAATTTCTGCATCAGTGTTTAAATGCATCAATAAGCAGTCCGAAATCTTTTGCTGCTATTGTCTGCACAATACCCTTTCCTCCAAGATCTATAGGCAGCAAGGTCTTCTGGGATTTATCATAGCCACAGGTTACCAAAAAGTTAAAACTGAGGCTTAGGTAAAGCAGAGTATGATGGTTCCAGCAAAGCCTTTCTCACTATGACTGCATGTAGACCAGCAAATACGGCAGTTCAGTGGCCTCTGCCATATTTATTCTATGGAAGAGCTATTGCCATCATTACATCTGTTTATCTGGTTTTACACATCAATAACTGTCAACCTTATCCTGTCTACTTGTTTTACAAAACTGCAGAACAGAATGAATTCTAAGTCCTAAATGTAATTCAGTTCTAGCCTTCTTCCACGCTTTGGTTAAGACAAGCTGGGTCAAAGAAGAAGTGAACCATTAGGTAGAGGAAACTGAATAATCTGTAGGTTATATGCTATGGAAGATAGTTATTTTTATAACATTTTCCATTATAGTTACATGGGGAAGAGCTTCATGTTCTATCATCCATAGTTAATTAGTCTTCATGGTCTGTGATAGGTTTCTTAAAAATAGTTCTTCACAGTTCTTCCTCATGTTTTGAGAAATCTTTCAATATTCACAAAACCAATGAGGGAAAAGAGGTATGTTTATCATTTTCCTCTAATAGGCACCAAATTTTTGTTTTCATTATGTGTCAGAACATCTTAATGCTTGGCATTTGAAAAAAAGATAAGCAGAATTCACAGTTCTCGAGGCTGGTATTTAAGGACGGTTCCAGAGGTCTCCTGGAATGATCACCTTTAACATTTTGTTCTACTTAGCAAACAGTACAGCATCTTTTAATTGATGATGTGATCAATACCTATTGCATACAATTTTTTCATTCTCCTATCCTTTCTTACTTACAAAGTCACTCTTCTTTCTGTTCCATCTCTATTGCACAGCTAATTAAATACCAGGGTAAATTATTGCGTGGATGTGGTAAAAACAGCTTGAGAAGAATGAAAAATGAATGTCATAAATCAGCAGAGCCTGAACAGCAAGGGGACAGTCCACAGTCATTTGTTATTGGAAAGTAATTCTCATAGACAAAACAGCATGCGTGGGTTTGGGAGCTACACTTTACAGATGAGCCTTCAAACAGGGACACAGGAATGAGAGTACTCTAAATCTGTTTATTTCTGCATATCCATATTGAAGACTGGTAGATACTGAAAACATTTTCAACTGTTTGGAAAAACAGCTTCATAACTTTATCATGCATTTTTTGAGTCATTATGTACTGTTTATCTGGAGTGATGAAAACACCTATGTTCATCTCACGAAAGAGACACCACTGTATATGTTTAGTAATTTCTTTAATAAAGAGTTTAAACAGCCCTGAGTAATCTCCATTAAATATTCATGTGTTGGAGAAGAATAATGAAAGTCAATGAAGAAACTCATAGTCTCTTAAAGCTCTCAAAGGAAAAAAGAATGATATTAGGTAAAATTCAATGGACTGCGGCACCAAGATTTATCTATATAGTTTATCCTGGGACTTAGAATTGCAAATGAAGCTGAAGCATTCTGTATTAAGGGACAGTTATAAGAAATAAGTCACGAGGATACTGGTAGCACACCAAATTTGAAGGTACTTAGTAAAGAAGCCTAAAACTTTTCCCTTTCCACAGAAAAATGCAAGAATCTCACAAATATTTCTGTACTGGAATGTCTGTAACTTTTCCAAGAACTTTGATGTTCCAATCAATACAAATTGTCTTTTGACATACAATCAATGTGCAGCATCATGTTGGACTTACGTGGAACTGCATATCTGGGCATCACTGCATTCTTGTCAGAGATTGACATTAAGAAACAGTCTTTTATTATGCTGACAAAGAATAAAATCTATCCCATATTGACTCAAAACTCATTCCAGGCAGTAGTTGAAATTCATTACATGGTAAAATTGATCATTTCTACTTATTTTTGTGAAATTGCACTGACTTCAAAAAAATTCTGGCCCTGAGAGTGAATGGTCCTGATTTTGCCTGGTGATTGTGCTCTAATTACTTCTGAATCACCCTGATGTATCTGTGGCTGACATTAGTGCCAGCTGTCCCAGAATACATTCTGCTCTTGTCTCTGTGAAGTAGCTCTGCCCACCCTGAGATACCAGGAAGATGTTTATTTCCCCAGGATAACTACTGAGAGGCAGGCATCTTAATAACATATGTCAGAGAGCTAGTAAAGAAAAAGAC